TACTTTATCAAATTACCGAAACTTAAAAATTTTATGATACTGAAACTTTTTCTTTGAGAATAAAGTCCAGTATATTAACGAAAATATTTTTTTCCATTCGATTTTTTGTGAAAACTTCACGCTGCTTTATTTTTCTGTAATAAATCTAGAAAAAAAATTTATTTATTTTGAAAAAAGATAAAGAAGAAAAATATTTTACAAAAGGACTTGTAATTTAATCACTCGTATCAAAACTTCCTTAGAAGCAAAAAACAATTCAGTACTTTGATTATTTTAGTTTGAAACTTCAAAATATTTCAAATTTGTCTAAGCATTTTTGATTTAAAGTTCTTAAAATAATCTTTTTTTTTTTTTGCTGTTTATAAAAAGTAAAGCATATTAATAAATTGCAAAACATGTCGCTAACACTCTTTTATTTATTCTAAAAACACTTTTCAGGCTCACTTTTTTTTATTTGCTATGAATGAAAATATATGATATAAAAATTCAATAAAAAAAAAATTATTATCTCGATACATGTATTTTCAGTGGCTATCATAAAACATTTTTACACATTTTTCATTCCTGTTTTATGTCTTTTTATTCATCTACTTATGAAAATGTTATATGAAACTCTAAGATCGTTTTATAACTGCAAAAAATAGTTATAAAATAAGTAATATCAGCCAAACTTATGGATAATGACATTCTTTTGTTTTTATTGTTTACTTAGAAATATAACTTGGAACTGATCTACTTCAGTAAATATCATATAATATTTTAATTTGATATTTTTTAAGTGCCATAAAGATAAAAATTTAACATAAAAAATTTGCTTTCAAGAAAATTCAATCTACTATACAATCTTTATAAGTCGCAGCAGACAAAAAAGTCAGTATTATTGTAAAAATAGGTAGTAAATTATTGTTATTATTATAAAAATGTCTCTAAACGCTGGTATTGTTATAAACACATTATTATAAAACATTTTGGTGAAATAACACTATGGTTTTATAATTTTTTATAACACATTTTTGCCGTAAAAGAAATGTATTATTATAAAATATTTTTATTGTAATACACATTGTTATGAAACATTGATTTTGTGGCAAAACACATTGTTATAAAACATTGATTTTGTGGCAAAACACATTGTTATAAAACATTGATTTTGTGGCAAAACGCATTGTTATAAATGATTTTGTGGCAAAACACATTGTTTAAAACATTGATTTTATCTCTGCACGTTAAAAGACATTGATTTTGTGGCAAAGCATTGATATAAAACCTGAATTTTATCTCTTGCACATTGTTATAAAACGGATTTTATCCCACACATATTGCTATAAAACGTGTTTTATCGTAAAACCACACAGTTATAAGAAAAATTTTATTGTAAAACGCGTCATTATAAAATAATATGGTATAAAATTGTTACGATGAGTTAAATATGTTATAAAATTATTCATAATACAGTATGTTGTTATATACATATTGCTATTTTTATAAAAAATATTCGTTATAAAGCACATCGTTCTAACTATATTGATATTGTAACAAATATATTGCTATAATACAATAGTTTTGTTTAAAAAATATTATGCTCATAAAAATACTACGTTAAACCTTGATATATCAGAACGCGCTAATATTTCTTACAACTTGAAATATGAGCAATTACATCCTTATAGACTTTAAATATTAGATTTCCTGATGTGGTACTGCCTCAGGCAATCTACTCTGAGAGAAAATATGATCTTGATTCCAATAAACGATCGCCTTCGACTTCCCATTCAATAGGTTCCTTTGAAGAATGAATGAATCCCCTCTATAGTTGTCCCGCTATTCAAATTTGCTTCGGTGCCATTGAAGCGGGATGAACTGAAGAATTTATTCCGCTGATTTACATGGATGCACTGTTGAAGCAGAAGCAGTTACTTTCCAGAATAACCGACGGAAATACATGTCTTTTCAGCCCTTTGAAGTTGATACTCACTCGAATGCTTGCGGGGTGTTTTTCTGGAAAAGATTTACATGAATGGATTGCTTTAATTGGATTTGGTATTTAAATAGATGGATGCTCGTGGCAAAATCCGATTTGGCTATTCATCGATTTAAATTAGGATTTCAATTTTTCCATCAATGTGTTGAAATGGTGTTGTTGTGCAGCTGTTGGAAGCTCCCAAAATACCTCTGCTGAACTTGTATTGTAACACACATTGTTATAATACATTGACTTTGTGGCAAAGCATTGTTATAGAGCATGGATTTTATCACTTTCACATTGTTATAAGACCTTAATTTTGTGGCGAATCATTGTTATAAAACCTGGATTTTATCTCTTATTGCACATTGTTATAAGATATTGATTTCATCACTTGCACATTGTTATAAGTGATTTTGTGGCAAAGCATTGTTATAAAACCTGGATTTTATCTCTTGCATATTATTATAAAACGGATTTTATCGTAAAGCGCACAGTTATAAATTTTTTTTATTGTAAAACACGTCATTATAAAAATAATATGCTATAAAATTATTACGATGAGTTTAAAATGTTATTAAATTATTCATTATACAGTATGTTTTTATACACATAATGATATTTTTATAATAAAATATTCGTTATAAAACACAGCGTCCTAACTATATTGATATTTTTGTAACAAATATATTGCTATAACACAATAGTTTTGCTTAAATAATATTATGCTCAAAAATACTGCATTAAATATTGATATATCAGCGCGCGCTCATATTTCTTGCAACTTCAAATGGACCATTACATCCACATAGACTTTAAATATTAGATTTACCGATGTGGTAGTTCCTGAGGCCATCTACTCTTGAGAGAAAATCAGATCTTTATTCCAATAAACGGTCGTCTTCGACTTTATATCCCATTCAATATGTTCCTTTGAAGAATGAATGAATCCCCTCTACAGTTGTCACGTTATTCAAATTTGCTTCGGTTCCATTGAAGCGGGATGAACCGAAGAATTTATTCCGCGAATTTACATGGATGCACCGTTGAAGCAGAAGCAGCTACTTTCCGGAGTAACCAGCGAAGATAGATGTCTTTTCAGCCCTTTGAAGTTGTTACTCACTCGAATGCTTGCGGAGTGTTTTTCTGGAAAAGATTTACATGAATGGATTGGTTTAATGAGATTTGGTATTTAAATAGATGGATGCTCGTGGCAAAATTCGATTTGACTATTCATCGATTTAAATTGGGATTTCAATTTTTCCATCAATGTGTTGAAATGGTGATGTTGAGCAGATGTTGAAAGTTCTCAAAATACCTCAAATGAATTTCAGCAAAGGTATTTTAGCCAAAAGAAAATGTTTTTAATTATTTAAATGGAGTCTTTTAATGAATTATTATGTTGGTATTTAATCTCCATTCAGCTGCTTATTTAACTTTTGCTGAGCTTATGAAGCTCAAATTTGTAAAAGGAGGACTATAAGCTTATTTCTACAAAAGAATTAGAGGGATGATTAATACCTGGAAAGATTTTCTCTATAATTTCGTTTTTAATGGACTAAAATTAATTTTCTGTCTTCTAATTAACAAAAACAAATTAACTGAACAAAAACACAATACACAAATTTTTGAGACAATAAGCACAAAGTTCATTCATGTTGAAGGCTAATTAATTTGTTTGAACAAAGATTACTGGCGTGATTCGTTCATTTCAGACAAATAGTACAGAGTTCATTCATATTGATGCTAATTAACATGTTAGAGCAAGGGGTTACTGGCGTGAAATGTAGTCACTGCTTTGAGAAACGAGTAAATCAGTAGATATTGTGAAATGAAATCTTAAACTGATAGTTGAACATGTTTGATTTTAACAAATAAAACAACTTCGGTATATATGACAGTAATCGGTTACCCTAAAAGAAGGCATCTCTTCCCCCTCCACGCTATTGCAGAGATGATCTTTCAGACCTTTGAAGTTGTTACTTACTCGAATGCTTGCGGAGTGTTTTTTTTTTTTTTTTTTTTTTGAAAAGATTTGCATGAATGGATTGCTTTAATGAGATTTGTATTTGGTATTTAAATAGATGGTTGTTCGTGGCGAAATCCGATTTGGCTATTCATCGATTTAAATTGGAATTTTAATTTTTCCATCAGTGTCTTAAAATGGTGAGGTTGAGCAAATGTTGAAAGCTCCCAAAATACCTCGGAGGAATTTTAGCAAAAGTATTTTAGCCCAAAGAAAAGGTTTTCAATTCTTTAAATGGAGTCTTTTAATTAATTATTATGTTTGTATTCAGAGTTCGTCTCTGTTTAGCTGCTTATTTAACTACTGATGAGTTTATGAAGCACAAATTTGTAAAAGAATAACTATAAGGTTGTTTCTATAAGAAAAAAAAATTATTAATGGACTAAAATTAATTAATTTAATGAATTAAATTAATAATTTCATAATAAAAATCGAAAAACAAAAGCAAATAAACTAAACAAAAAGCAATACACAGATAGTTCATTTTAAACAATCAGCACAAAATTCCTTCATGTTGAAGGCTAATTAAATTGGAACAAGCGGATTTGATTTCGTTAATGGCGTGAACTCCACTCACTGCTTTGAGAAATGAATAAATTATGTAGATACTGTAGAAAGGAATCTTAAACTGGTGGTTGGAAATGTTTAGTTTCATCAAATATAACAACTACTGTGTATATAATATATATTCTGTAAATATGATATATGTTGTTATTGTTGTTTCTTATACCACTTGGCTGGCCAAGCCCACGAGCCCATACGTACTCATGATTGAAGGGGAAGGAAGCAGCTTCTGTTGTGATGGAGCATAATGACTTCTACCTAGAAGTCTGACTTTGGCTGCGTGACGCTCTTACAGTCAAACATAGGAAACCGGGACCTACAGCTTAAAGTGGATTACGAACCACTACAAACATCCATGGCACCGCCGGGATTCGAACCCGAAACTTGTGGCACCGAGAGTCAGAGCGCTAGACACTCGGCCTTCCAGGTCCCAAATTTGTGAATGCCAACGGCACGTGGTGTTCCCAGCTGGTCACCCACCCAAGTACTGACTGCGCCCAATGATACTTGATTTAGGTGATCTAACGAGAACCGGTATATTCAGCATGGTATGGCCGTTGGCAATATGATATATATTCGGTAAATATGGCATAATATGATAACAATAAGTTACTCCTAAAAGGAGGCATCTTTTCCACATCTACGCCTGATGGCTAATTGGTTAGTGCTCTGGCCAACCAAACCAAAATTTACGCCATTGTAAGTATGATACTGACACATCAAAATGTATCATGAAATAAACAATTTCTTAGTGTATAGATCATGTATCAAGTCTCGAATAGTCTCCCTGTATTCTGTATGCAAATGATTCAGAAAAAAATTATTAAAAGAACTAATTAAAAAAAAAGTTTGTGGCTTGATGGCCGAGTGTCTAGCGCACTGGCGCTCGTGCAATAGGTTTTGGCCTCAAGTCCCGGCGGTGCCAAGGATGTTTTAGTAGTTAGTGCTTCCATTTTAAACCATAAGTCCCGGTCTAATATGACTGTAGAACATTGTAGGCAGGATTGACACCTCTACCCATCTGAAAACATATCCTGTCTCGAAATTTGCCAGTAGACAGACGGCCTTGTGCTATGGGGCTATGGGGCTGCTACGCTAATGATGAAGAAGAATTTAAAAAAACTTTCTCAGAACTCACCAGGAGAAAATATAGCGTATTCACAGATGATGTAAGGAAATTTCAGAGACGATTCAATGACTCGAATTATTTGTTATTATTATGACTTATTCGTCAATTGCGTTCGAATTGCTTGTCACTCGAATCATCGAAATATAAAAAAAATTTTCTTGGTTATTTTACAAAATTCAAAATAGTGCACTGGTAACAAACATTTTTTAATAATATAGTGACTAGAACTTTCTCTTAATGAAAGAGAAAAAAAATCACTTTCTGAAGCGACTTCTTGTGATATAGAGGAAAAAAAATAACATTTCCTCACTCCCAGAAAATAGATTAAAATCTTTTCTGGTGGCAAGTTTCTTGGTCAATGAAAGCTCATTTAATCTAGCTGAGCTTTTTCTAGTCCAGAAAGAAACAAGAAAAAAGACTTCCAGCAGGAAGATCTGGTGGTTATCAACTCTGGTTGGAGAAAGCACCTCATGGGAATTCTGCTGGAAATCTTAGGTGCCAGATTGGGATTTTCCATTAGAAATAAAACGTCTACAGAATTAATAAAAAATTTTACGGGTTTCATCATTTCCCCATCACATGCACAAAAACAATCTATAAGGCATTACACTAAGTAATTGCCAAATCATTGAAGGAGCAGTTATTATTATAAACTAAATGGACTAGAGTATTTTTTTTTTTAATTTATCGCATAATTTTCCTTTTTCATCCCCTTTGTTTTAGAGACTGTTTAAAAATATGAACTAATCGGAGTTTCTTCTTAGATTTAATTTAAATGTTACTATATAAACAGAAATTCATCGTCATTGGCGCAACAGCCCCATTTTGGCTCAAGGCCGTTTGCCTGCTTGCAGATTACGAGACGAGATATGTTTTTCCTTTTACGGGGTAGATTTTGTCAGTCCTACGCCCAACGCTCTATAGTCATATTAGACCCATGTAACACAGGTTTCAATCGAGTCCCGCGGTGCCATGGATGTTTGTAGTGGTTCGGAATCTACTTTAAGCCATAGTTCCTGGTCCACAGAGTCCAACCAGACTTCTCCCCACATCATTCTCAAACTGTAAAGGGTCAACTCGGCTCTAGGCACAGTGAGTGGTGTAGTGTAGTGTAGTCATGTTAGACCGAGACCTACGGTTTAAAGTGGATTCCGAACCACTGAAACATCCTTGGCACTGCCGGGACTCAAACACGAAACTGAATTGCATCTTAAAATTCTCAAATGGTTATACTGTAAAATAGAAATGTTATGTGGTGGAAATATAAGTGCAATATGGTGCAATAAAATCTGTGTAAAATGGATTTATTTTTAGCCATCAATCAAACATTAATCTAAATTTTAGTTTTTCTCGTTGTCTTCTGACATACACAGAAATCTTTATAATGAAGACTCATTTTAATCCATATTAGCTTTAAAATCTTGTATGTTCAAATCCTTGTTTTTAGATGCCAACCATGAGGGAAGTTCGTCCAAAACTGCAAAGAGCACCCAAATCCCTTCAACAAATTCCAGTGGCCTGATGAATCGTGGCGGTGATATGAATGTTTATTAATGGTTTGGAATGCGCGTTAAGCTGTAAGTCCCGGTCTAATGAGCCTAAAGTATGCCAAAAATACCCGTTGAGCGACAAACCAAACCAAATCAACAAATTCCAAATTCATTCCCAAAACTGTAAAGGAGTATCTGAGTTTTTAGCTAGTGTGTTGTGGTGAGGGTAGCAGTAAAAGTTCGTCTATAAGAGTAAATCGTTTTTTATAAATTTTTAGAGCTCCAAATAAAATAGCTGAGAATTGCCGAGAAATATTTACAATAATAGGGCAGGAGTAACAGATCGTTAAGACAACTTGATCCTTATTGCGGGCCAAGAAAAAGTACATGAATTTTTTTAATGTTTTGTTTATTATGTATTGATACAAAAATATTAAAAAATAAATCAAGTAATAGTAGACTCAATAATTATTGATTATATTTTTGTAGCTTCAGAGTAATGATGATACTATACTTTCATCATTTTCACGATTTTCCTGAGCTACGATTTTTAGATTTCTTGATGTTCACGTCTTTTGTAGAGTTTATCCACAGATCAAAATTACCTAGAAAGTGTTTGAATACTTTAAAGCATCCTTCAACAATACTATATAATTATTTTCTTTTTTTATTGATAATAATTATTATAGGTAAAGGCTCGTTCCCACCGAGGCGAGAGACGTGAAGATTCAAGAGGCAAGCGACAAAATTGTTTCGACCCCTTCACAGCGAAAGGTCAGAAATAGCATTACGCCCAGTGAAAAACCGCTTCGAGTTGAAAGTTGGACAACTCCAAGCGGCGGACTGCAAACCGGTTTCAGGCGACCGCGGTGAGGCTATGATTGGTTAAATTTTTCGCTTGCATCTTCTCGCTTTGGTGAGCACGAGCTTTAATAGTCTTGTCTTTAAATTTCACTGATTCGAATGCATTTGTCCAAAGTACCTGTAAATATCAAATGGCCTGTTAAATAAGTCTACCAGAACGTTACTTTTAAAAAAATAATGCTAAGGTTTTATATGCATAATAAGGATAATGATAAGGTTTTAACCGTTTCTGCGTATACAACATTTGCAGTTGATGAGGTGGGCCACTAGCAAATCAATGAAGGAACAGTCGCGTGAATGTGAGATAGCCTTTTTAAGTCTGTTTGTCAAGCCAGAGGTGTTGCAAAAGTAACTAGATAGTGGAAATAACTGATGTGGTCAGGAAAATACCATTGTCGAAATTGTCACATCGAAGTCGCATTGTTACAAAGAAGGAAATGAGCAATTTTGACGTGAACCCTATTTAATCTTGTTCGCATGATTATTATACAGTGAATGGACACGACAACCTAGAAAGTTCATGTTTCCTGATACCTTACTGTAAAAAAAAAAAAAAGAAAAACTGTAAAGGGGTATCTGAGTTCCAGGCACAGTATTAGATGGGATAGCAATAGTAGTTGTTCTACAAGAGTAAATTTTTTGCTATGAATTTTTTTAGAACTATTTACAATTAGTTGATCTTACTATACTCTGATTCTCGGTGCCACAGGCTCTGGATTACAGTCCCGGCTGTGCTGGCTTTGGAATCCACTTTAAACCATAGATCCCTGTCTAATATGACAATAGAGAGTTAGACATAGGAATGGCAATACTACGCTATAAAAAGAAAACATCTCCTGTTTCGGAAGCGGCCAGTAGACAGTCGGCCATGGCCCAACATGGACTGTAGTGTCAGGAAGATAGTTAGTTTGATTTTACTTCGAATGCTGTGAATAATTGACTTCTTTTATCTAATTCAGGCTGCATAGGGCTTCATCAATTCGAATTTTGAGAATTTTCTTTAAATTCCCTTTTCATTTTATTGTTGAAATTAATATCTTAATTCACATTTTCTGTACGACTCAATGTTGGATTAATTTAACAAGATACTAACCAAACTGAGTTTTACGTTTAAAAAAAAATGTTCTCTCAAATTTTTATTTAACAAGCATTGCACTTGAATCATGAAAATTGTTAATTTCTCCCAATAAAATAGTGATTAGTTATTGGATGTAAATAATAATGATAAAATTGGTATTCAAAGCAAATGCAGCACTTTTGTTTTTTGTTAACATCTGTGGTTGTCGTGTTCCACTTATGTATGCCAGAACAGATCACTGACGTGTGATGAGGAGTAGATAATGTTTTCTAAGAAGACTTTTATGGGTAACTGCCTCACATAAGCATATTGCGTGGAAAAAACCCTAATAAAACTTCCATCCGTCCAGTCTGAATATGGATGACAGATGCTTTAAACACATTGTCACAATCACCATTGTTTGTTTATTAAAGCAGCGAAGTGCTGTAAAGGTAAGTCAGCAGCGGATTCAACGTTAGCTCTCTACCACGCTACCTGCACAAGAGTCAGAAATACAATGCTATTTAACATAATGAGTCTAATTCTAATATAATCATAATATCTTTATGCAGCATATTTTATTAAAAAATTTGATTCAAATTTTTTTTTCCATTTGCATAAATTTCGAGGCTATACAGAATTGAATATTTTTTTGAGTCATCTATAAAAGAAATTGAATTGAATCACTCAAGAGCTGATTCACTCAAATTGAATCACTCAAGAACTGATTCACTCAAATTGAATCACTCAAGAAATGATTCACGGAACCGTATTTCCTATTGGAAAAATAAATGAAATTGTTTTTAATAAAAAAAACTTAAATCAAAATTTTATTGAATATTTTTTAAGTGTAGAATATGTACTTCAAATTAAAAAATCTCCAGTGATTACTCTGGTTCATAATTCCAGATATAAAATTTAAACATTAAAGATCCAAATTTCTTTCACAATACTGCATTTATACGAAAATGATTTTTGATTTGGCTATTATCAAGTTACAAGTTAAATAAATATAATCC